AAAGGGCTGCACACAATGATTGCGCTATGTATAAAATCAGTCGAACATACCGCTTGTGTACGTAAACGAAAATCTAATGATTAAGGATGAATTTTTTTTGCAAAAAATTTCTTGTCCCACAAATCATTTAAAAAATTTTAAATTACAGCTTAATTTGAACGCGCAGCTTATTCTATTTTGATAGTTCGTGCGTTATGCACAACGCATAACGTGTTCGTCTTATATAATAATATGGTAACATCTATCTCATATATAATCCCTTGTATTATTTTTTATCTAATCAACCTTATTTGATACTGCAAGACTTCTTTATCTTTCTAGAATTTTCGTAATAACAAAATTCCTTAGACTGGTAACGCTGCAGAAAAAAGACAATTTCTTACATGCATATATTTCTACATCTATAATTTTGCTTAATTTTATAAAAAAAATTGTGTTTAAAAACAAAATTTTTTTATTATAAATTGCTATATTGGGAAGAAAAAAATTTTTAGGTAACTCAAGATTCGCAACAGTAAATTAGACGACGAAATAACGACACCTGCAAAAGAACTAAACAGCGTTAACAGAAAATATAAGATAAATACGAATGCAGAGAATGAACACAAATTTAATCAAATTAAGACAATAGAGGCAAAGAAGAGATTTTTCACTGCATGAGATAGTTTTATTTAAAGAAAAACTGAGAAAAGAAAATTAAATAATCCGAAATTAGTGGTCGACTTGTAAAGAAAAAAAAAAAGCTGAATATCGCCTAAAAGGTAAATTTTGACATAGAAAAACTTTATTCAAACAATATTTTTAATTGTGAAACAACAATAAAATTCACATATTGCCATCGTGTATATATATATATATATATATCGTGCCATATATATATACCAATAACATGTATACAAAAATATCATATATGTGGAATGAATAAAATTTATATATAAGACAAAAAAAATATAGGTATACGTGTAAGAAACAAAGTTCAGTCAATTTGCAATAATAAACTTTTTCTTAAATATGGTTATATGTGTTGGATAATTATCATATAACATATACTTGTTTTTTAAGTGCATAGAAAACAGGCGATGTTTTAATTACAAATTTTTTTTTAAATACGTATGTAGACGGGTGTGTTGCAATATTTGGATTACTCTACATTTCTCATATAAGCCTGCAGGGAGTATTAAGATTACTCGTGAGTCCGTTTGCAACATCTCGCGTAATACATTTCAAATCCATAAAAAATTTAATTTTAATCTTAAACAGTGATTGTCAATCTTTAGAATATTATTACGTTACGCACTAATACAAATTAAAAAAAAAAATGTTGAATCATAAATTTTGCAGATCTTTGACATTCTTTAATTATGTCTATGTCGCGCTTTACAATATTTATATATATATACGCATATATACACCGCAATAGATCGCAAAATACGCAAACTACGCTCGTTTCAAAAAAAGTTCTAACGATGGACTAAATGGCCTCTAAAATGAATGTGCTCTAATTATTCATCTTTTCACTGATATGAAATGCAAAGGGATTCATTCTAAGGCAATTTGTAATGAACTTTTGTAAGAAAGTCATCAATAAAATATTAAAGGAAAAATAATTTATTGATCATTGTTTTGAAATAAATAAAATCATTATAGAGGACAAAGTCAACAATACCCTAAATACCCTACATCACTTCCCTTAATATAAATCCCCATTTATTTTTGTAATGAAATGCCAAAAATTATTCTTTATTTCGAAATGAAGGTAGGCTTTTTATGATAGTCTTATAGTCTTTACTTCTAGAAGTCCGTTTCACATATTTACACTGTAGAAAGAGTCGTGCTATGGCATATATACATTTTCCAATTTTATCTTTTCTCTCTCTTCATTCTAATCATTGCTGTTCTTCAAATAACTTGCTCTGCATTTCACTTGTATTTGTTTTGCAATTTACGCTTGCCTTTTTGAGACTTTTTTTTTTATTGGTTATATCATTGTATACACACTTGTTTCTGTTGGTAAACAAGGGCATGCGCTCCTCTTACAACGACGGAACAAACGTCGCAGCTATTATGACTTTAAACAGTTCATCGAAAAAGTATTTTGAAAATTAAACGCTTTAGTAAAGCATCATAACTTTTTGTAAGCTTGGATTTGAGGTTAATGAACGTTCTAACAAAATTAATTGCTTTTTTCGCTAAATTTATATAAAACAATTCTTTAAATTTTTCGTGTTTTTGTGCGTTTTGGTTAAAAATGTAAAAAAAGAAAACACTTGTTGATCTGGCTATGAGAAGTTTTATATGTTTAATATTGAATTAAGTGAAAGCATTTATTAGCAAACACATATATACCAGATACAAATAAAATTTGCATATTTTCATTTGCTGCAAATGAAGTGAGAAAATTACTGTAAAAGTTTCAAAACAGATTTATATAGGATGTAGCAGCTCGCAGCGCAGGAAGGCAAGGCTTTCAACTCTATTACGAAAACTGATTATTCTTATTTTACATAGATTCTCCAGATTTAACGGACTTGTTGGATTTATTAATGCGTTTAATATCAGAAAAAGCATATCAAATTTATATAATTCGATTTTATGTGTGTTCTGCAAAGGTAGTTAAGTAGAAAACTCCCGTGTGCGTCCTTTTTGGCATACTGTTAAATACCAACTGCTCACTGGTAATCGTTACTCTTGATCTCAAGTGCAACATAGAATGACATTTTAAGCGTTTATCCTTCTTCAACCTGTTACACGGTTCTTTGAAACGATTAACTCGCATTTGCTATCCTTTAACGAGATTCTGCTCTTTTAAGAGATGCATCGAGGTCAGTGATCTTCTTATAACTTTGCACTGGTTTTCTCCTAGCTTTTTATTCGCTCAGAGTATGCTGTTGAGTGCGTAATATTTGAAAACAAGCTTAGAATAAGAAATCATCCATATTTCGGTTGACGGGATTAGAGAGACTTTGTTATCTATAATTGTAGTAGGTTCGGTTGCTAAAAGAATTCAATGGCTCTTGAAGTTAGAGAATTTAAAAAAAAATATAAATATCATATCATCTTAAACAAGGGGCTACTTATGGAATCTATAAAATTGATTATAATATGAAAGTCCGTAAAAAACGACCAGTCGATGATTCAATAATTTAAAAATAGTAATTATAAATATTTGCACATTTTTTTTACCATTTTCCAGGATTAATGAAAAATTTTTTTATTAAATTTATTTTTAATATTTTCGTTTTTCTTTTTAGTTCAGTGATTTCTTTTGTAAATAGTAGAATGTCGATGGATTCTCCTATATCAACGGCACCAGAATTGCCAATGGGTTCGCAAAACATAGCAGAAGGGGACGCTTGGAATGTCACGTTTGGCGCGATTGATAACGATAATACAGATAGTGATAGCAGTTATGTTGTTGTCGGTCGTACGCCCGCAACTTCATCAACTGCCTATTCATTTCCTGGCAATGCTCTGGGCAGCGAATCTATTTCTAATTTAAATGATAAAAAAGATACAGCAGCTGTAACCAATAATGCAGACAATACTAAAACAGCGGCCGGTGACAATAAAAGAGAGGAAGACAAGAACGATGATTCAATGTTTGAGTGTAATATTTGTCTAGATACTGCCAAAGATGCTGTGGTTAGTATGTGTGGTCATTTGTTTTGTTGGCCATGTTTGCATCAATGGTTAGAAACCAGACCAAATCGCAAATTATGCCCCGTTTGCAAGGCCGCTATAGGTAAAGACAAGGTTATACCCTTATATGGGCGCAATAGTACCAAGCAAGAAGACCCTAGGTAAGAAATTTTGAAACCAATTTGTATCTTTCTATATTCATGGCCTTTTAACTAAACTTTGTATAGAAACAAAGTGCCACCACGTCCAGCTGGTCAACGCACTGAACCAGAACCACAACAAGGTTTCCAAGGATTCACGTTTGGCGATGGTTTTCATATGTCTTTCGGTATAGGCGCCTTTCCTTTTGGATATTTTGCATCATCTCTTAATTTTGGTGAACCTCGTCCAGCACGTAATATTTTTTTATTTTATATAAAATCATTTACGATTTGGTTATTTAAAATCAAAATTTTACTTTATTCGTTTCGTTTTCAGCAGCTAATCGTGGTACCACTCAATACGAAGATGAGCAACAACTGTCAAAGCTGTTTTTGTATTTAGCTTTTCTTTGTATCGCTTGGTTATTGTTTGCATAGCTCGACTATTAATTATTTTAAATTCAAGAAATTTAATTGGGATTATACGGAATTTGATTATTTTGAAGGTAATCATAGGAAACGGAACAATATCGCAATAGAAACACAGTAGATGTGCAGTTATATACAAACATTAGATAATCTGTTTGGTAGAAAATTTATATACAGACTAGAACAACAAAATTATCCTTATATATTATTTATATTCATATATATGTATATATATATGAATTTATTTATTTATATATGCTTGTATATATATATAAATATATATATATATATATTAATTTACATATACATATATTATATATATATACATATATTATATATATATAAATATATATATATATATATTAATTTACATATATATATATTATATATATATGAATATATATACATATACATGTACATATACATGTATACATATACATGTATTCATATATATATATATATATATATATATATATATATACTTTCTTTTTTTAAATTTTGGGCATTAAAAATTAAATAAGATGTGAAACATGAATAATCTGTGGTGTTAAATACATATGCAGGCAATGAAAAATATTTGGTTGTTGGACGGGGGTACCGCAAAAAAATTAACTTCAATTTATTTCATATATATAATATATTATCACAATAAAAAGTATCTAATCCAAAACAAATAAGTTTGTATTTACTACTCAAAATGCTAATGAGATATAATCTTTCCATGTTCCAAACAGACGTGTATGCAATCTCCGTATGTGCCTCCGAATGCTTAAAAAGGCAATGTAGGAGAGAGTTGATGTGCATTTGCTCTGACATTCAAGACACAAAGGCCTTGAAAGGGCAAACGATAGGCGCGTGTTGAGGCGCCTTCAGTCATTGAATGAGCAAAATGTTGTGCACATAATATGCGTGCCAGGGTTAAAGAGAGTGTAGGAAAATTATAGGTCCCGAACCTTCCTATGGCATATCACGAAGCCATATTAATGGGAAAAGAAAAAATTAAATCGCCATTAATAAAGTCTTGCGGCACACAAGCTATTAGAATTAAGAACATGATTCTAACCGGGTCTTAGTTCCCTCAAGTACCAGCTAAAAAACATGGATATCTCCTATACCGATTCTACCAAGCAATGAGTGAGACAGCTCACTAAATTCTATGTGAATGTGTGGCTATCTGTAGAATCAGATACCAAGTGTTTGGCGAGCACTTTAAAACGGTGGACACCTTATGGTGCTCCGAACCGAAGAAGTTTTTGATTAATAATTGTGAGACCAATCCGTACGGCGGCCTAATATAATTTTTTTACTCGCCCTTGGACGTAGCCCTCAAATTTTAGGATTCTTATCAGTCGCGCCAGCTTTGAAGTTGGCTTATAGATGCAAGATAATTACACTTTAAATTTTTGTATTTTCAGTGATACGCAACACTAGGTTTACTTCTAACAAAAGATAAACTGTCTCAAATTATGGCAAAAGCCGAGGAAGGGTAATTTAGCCATATTTTTCAATCAATAACAAAGTCAACGTTAGATGATCAATTTATTCTGTCCACGAACACATCCCTAATAAAATAAGAAGTGAAACAACTTGGAAAGTTGCAAAAATATTATTATGGCTTGTAGATCGGTATCTTTAAAGGTTTATAGTTCTCTTTGGGATTCTTATTGTTCGACTATCACGAAAATTATGCCGTATTCCGCGGGGTGATCATATACGAAATCGACTGTCGCCGTAATTGTCGCTTTGTTTTTTTCCATCAAATTTTCCATTAAAATGCATTAATAACTGAGAGAGTCCTAAAAAATAAGTGCAAAATTGACGTTTATTTGTTTTGTACAAACAAAATACATATGTTAAACAATAACAAGCATGCAAAATGAAGTGAAGTTAAATCCAGTGTTTAAATTTTTAGGTTTTTATGGGAGAAAAACGTTATTATTGTTATATGTTCTTTTTTACAGATTTTCCATAAAAATGAATATTAACAGTTCTGTTATAAGAAATTGTTAGCGATTAATTCATATAAATGATATCTGATTCTTCATCATTATATCAAATTTTCTCTTGCATTCCTGTATGCCAAATATTTTGGTCTTTTATGCTTATATTTGAACAAATAAAAAGAAGATTCAGTTTTCTTTTAATCAAAACAAGGAGTAATACATGCAGTATCTATTTAATTTTAATATAAATTTTTGGGCGAGTTACAACTTTAAAAAATATTTTCTATTTTTATTATTATTATTATTATAAATTTAGCCAGAGAATAAATTCTAACCCTAAAGTCTTAAAGCACTAGCATCTAGGGCTATCGGCTGTTATTAAAAAACTCTACCGCACTTGAGGTTTGAACCCACGACTATTGAGTTGCTAGTCGAGACTCTTGCCTACTCGGCCACTCTATTTTTAATATTGTTGTGTATATAAATTTCGTGCTAGCAACCCTCTAATTTATTTAACTTACTGCTTCTATGAAACCACAAAAACATCAACACCACCATCTTTATAGCGCGCGTGGAGTGCTGACGGATTCAAATGACATCTTCAAATGTTTGGTCGCGCCGCACAAACGAGTGCGATGCTTCCCTGCTTTCCTAATCTTTCGCTCCAACTGTAGAATACACCTAGAGAAATACTTTAATACTAACATTTATACACTCCAATGCACCTTTTCACAATGTTACAAAGGAAGTCACGATACATTGTACTGAAAATGTGCACATTAGTTAGCATAATTTAATTTAACTCGATATTTAAAAAAAAACTGGTACTCTCTTTCATCAATATTTTTTTCTTTTTCTTCACAATGTGCAAATGTAATTTTGGATCCGCCTGAGTGGTCTAGGGCAAAAAACCTCTACTAGCAACTGTATTGTTGTAGGCTCGAATTATAATAATAATTTCGGACACAATTTTTTTTTTTATTTTTTTAAATTTTTGAACTAATAATTTTCTAACAGCTGTTTATCTTTTCCTTTCACAATTATTTTACTGCAAAGGCAACTCTAAAGCAAAAATTTATGGTAACATTCCTTGGTTTATATTCAATACTAATGCAAATTTGTTTTCAACGACAGCAATGTTATTGTCGTTAGATTTGACGTATCCCACAGAGCGTACTGGCAAAAATCACCAATGAATTTGCTAACATGATCTAGATTTTATTGATGATTGTCGCCTGCTTATATGATGACTGTCTTGATCTAGTTATGGACTGTATCATCGTAAACAAACGAAATTAATTTTGAATGATGAATGCCATAAATATATCTCAGCCGAGCGGCTTTCAAGGTACGCCTTTGAAATAAGATCTAGTTAACTAATAATTAGTGTTCATATGTTCTTGTTTACATATTCCTATCAAATAATTTAGTATTGTGCTTACCATTTGTGACCTTTTAACCCGAAAAACAAAATAACGCATGTCAGCCTTCTTATGTGCAACTTCTTACTTGCAACTGTTCCACAAATGTGGAAATATAAGCAGAGCTTAACTGTGATGTCAGCCTTAGAATCATAAAAATGTAGCAATTAACAACCTTCAGTCTATTCCGCGCACGGTCAGTCACGGACAGACCACAAACCATATATTTCTTCCAAACACCTGAACAGCTTGTCATGATGCCTTTATTTCTTTTTTTTCGTATTTGGTGTTTAAGCGTAAGGTGGCTAATGAGGAGTTATTTTCGTTTTCTGGTTAAAACCTTCCAAGTGGTAAGCACAATTTTAGACCGCGATACCATGTTGTCTTACAGGAAAAATAAATAAAAACATGTGGTTTTAGAACCAAAAATTAAGGAATCAACGTAAACATAAACAACAAATTTATAAAAAATTAACGATCATTATTTCTTCTTAAGCTTTTCTTCTTCTTCTTTTATTCGAAAAACCATAAGATTCGTCAATTCTCAGCGGCAAGGAGGGAGGGCGCAGAAGAGACAAAGCATGGGCAGAATGGGCGATGTGGGTGGAGAAATAGGGGCTTGTGAGTTTGACGGACGGGGCGCGTGATACAAGTACTTACTACGTTGGAATGAAGCGGAACGAGATAAAAAGAAACGAAATGGAATAAAACTGGATGTAATTAAATGAAAATAAGTGGGAGCAAGTACTTGAGTCATCGGAATGAAACCGAACCAAATTATGATATGCCAGTTTATATTTCCTCACGTATTCGCCTCAATTGGGGGGCCTCTAGCGAAGCGTGGACAACGTCGTTAAAACAAGATGCTTTGATTCAGGAAATCAAAAGGAAATCATGGTTTCAGAACCTAAAAATAAAGAAATCAATATAAATGTAAATAACAACTATATGAAAAGCAAAGACGCAAAAAATGAAAGTAAAACTAAATTTAATTTTTGATTGACTATTGAGTTAAAGTAAAAGGAAAGGAGATTGAAAAAGGGGCATAGAGTTAGACTTCCCTACGCAGTTAAATAAACGAAAAGAATAGCTTATATGTTTTGATTTCAAACCAAATTTTAAATTGAGTAATAAATTGCGTTTATTGCTTCTTTTTCCAATCTTATTTATTTTTTTTTTTTTTGGTATGTTGAAAGGAGATGGAGTAAGCCAATAGATTTGTGGCTTATATGTCCAAATCTTTGTAAGAATAAAATTAATGAAAATATAGTTTTACAAATTTTATATCATAATAAAATGGTTTACCAAAATTAATTAACTTAAAATATGGTCTAATAATATTAGTAATTTAATATATATTTTGCTTTTTGTAAAGTTATATTTGTTTAGTATCTATATAAAGTTTCGTGTGGGTTTTTTTATGGCTTTAAAAATTATAATTATTTGTTATAATTGCAGTAATTAATATTATTAATTAAAGCAATTTAGATATAGTAATATAGAATGGTATTGATAAATTTTGTGCCAGCATTCGCATTCATATAAATATTACCAATTAACTTATATAGATTTATTGGAAATTTTTCATTTTGCAATGCCGACGGCAAATTTGCATTTTGCAAAATAGATTATGAGAAACTTCTTTTAACAGACAGATTATGAGAAACTTATTTTAACAGATAATGAGAAAC